TATTTTCTTGATACTTTTTTTAACATCTGTATTCACGCCGTAAATCATCACTAAAAGCTAAAATTATGACCATGGAAGTAATGACAAAATGATAGATTAAATAGACTGATTATGCCAAAAAATAATTACTAATAGGAATAGGTAAAATAACAGTAATAGTAGCAACAGCAATAATAGTAACAGTACCTATAATTGTAATAAGACGAGTAAAAATAGGACAACGTGATGAAATATTTTCTGGTTTTTTGCAAGGAAACTTTTTTCTATTATCATTTCTTTAATGCTGGGCATTTTATTTGCTTGCTAATTTTTTTGCTGATATTTATAAGTGTTGTTGTTGTATTTAGCAGCAAAAACAAATCATAGGGTTTTTTTTTGTCTTCTTCTGTTCTGTTTTTTTTTTGTTCTTACTTTGCTGTTTTCGAGCTAAGCTCATGAATCTTTCGTTATTGTTGTCATTTTGTAACATTTTTAAATACACTATCGTATTACGAAAAGGCTTAAAGGATTGTAGAAGGAAGGGAGAGAGGAGAGAGGAGGGGGAGGGGATAGTTAATATTTTTGTAAACGAAAGAATGAATGGAGAAGAAGCAGTTATTTGCTGATCTTTGAGCAAACTGTGAAGTTATTTCAACAACAAAAAAAAAACTTATTAGCTTTAATCTGGTTCGCTTTTTTTCCTGCTTTTCTTATTTTGTAAAGGCAATACAGCTAAAGTTATTTTTGAAAATTTTGTTGTTTTTCTCTTCTGCTTCTTTCTTTTAAAGGTCTTATGAAAAAATATCTTTCTTCTGAACATCTATAGAATACAGTCTCAAATAGGTGTAAACATGGGTGAGAAAACACATTTGTTATCAATGCTAACTAAATTTTGCTGACTGTACTTTCGATATATTTTACTATGTTTTAGCAATATATTTTTGTTGGAAAACAGCTGTTCTACGGTTTTCTCTGCTGATTAAGTACCAAAAATTTGTTTTATTTCTTTTTTCTTATTTGGTGGTAAATAACAAAAATGTAATAAATTTTTTACCACTAATCTGCTACTTAATAGCAACACAAAGAGTAATCTGTAGTTACGCAATTGAATCTTCATCAAAATTGGTAACCGGTTACGTGAACTATTCTGTTGTCAACCTGCTATCCAGTTCAAACATTGTTTAGGTTAGTCAGTCGTCTATATTGTGCTAAAAGGTGATTGCTGTTGTTTTTGTTGTTATTACCGTAAGCAATGATCTTTGAAATAATTAACTAATATAACACCTGATTGTTGTTGTATTAGACGAGAAATTGTAGCTGTTATTTACGGTTCTAAAATTAGGAAAATTGACCAACATACAAAAAGGCTGTATCGGTTCATCAGTTTTGTAGTTTTATTCGTATTTTTACAATTATGAATAAAAACCCTCAGACTTTTGTTTTGCAATATTTTTTTTCTGTTGTTAAAATACACTGTTTATTCAACATCATACAGTGTAGTTTTAATTTTTTTTTCTTGCCTAGCTTAGTTTTCCAGTTATTTGTTCTTTAGTTTACACTGATGCATAAATGATAATACACCTTAGCTCTAATGGTTGCCACAAACTTCTTGCATTACCGTGCTTCTGATTTGTGTGCTATTATTTTGCCCTTTTAATTTTATTACATCTTTCTTCTTCTTTAAAAAAATTGTTGTAGTGGAGAAATAGGTTATCACAGCGGTTAAAATTTTACTCCCAAGTACTGGTTAAAATGATTTAAATACTCAATAATTTCTGCTCACCTTCACGAAGTTATTGTAAATAAAGTTGTCGGATAAGTGAAATGAAAAATAATTTACGTAAATCTACAATCTTGGACTTTGAAGCCTGGTTTTTTTAGCTTAATTTTAGTTATTTGGAGGTACCACTCAATTTGCTTCTGTATTTTGTAATTTAAAAAAAGAGGATAAAAAAAAGAGGAGGGAAAAATGTCGAAGTAAAAAGCAATCAAGCAGGTTTAATTGTTTTTCACTTTAAACTACATTAATTTGCTAGTAAGTTTTTTTGTTCAAATTGCTGTTTATGAGAAAACGCTGCTGTTGGAAAGGGGGGAAGGGGGGGGAATTTGTTAGTACTTTAGATTTCCTCCAAATACGACAATGATAATAAGACGGACAGAAGCAATGATAGTTGTTAAAATGCTGTTAATTCGTTGTGTTCAGACCCAAAACAAGTGTTGTTTTGAAAACTGTTATGCAACTTTTTTTTAGTGCTTTTTTTATCGTGCAAACTTTTTATTCATCGGTTGTTACCGATTATCAATTGCAGTTGAATACTTAACTATTCAACAGTTTACTGGCCAGCAGTTTTTCTTTTTTGTATTTAAAATTTATGAGACAAATTTACTGCTAAACAATTAATGACAATTTGTAGGCGATTAAAATTTTGTGCTTCGAGAACGTTGGAATTGTGTAACAGTATTTTATTTGCTTCTCCAGGAAGGTTTTAATATTGATGGTTATTTTCATGGCTAAAGGTTAAACAGTATCTGTTGCACAGGACGGAATTGGTAGACGAAAAGTACTGTTAATCGCCTTGTTTTATATATTTATTATGGTTTTTGATTTGGATTGGCGACTTATACTAATGCAATAGACGTTAGTAAAAAAAAAAAAAAAAGCATGTTGCTGTCGGTCATATAATCAATCAGTTGTAATACCGATTTTCATCTGATTCACTATTATCAATTTTTCGAACAAGGTTTCTACTTTTATTTATTGTAAAAAAAAGTCACCAGTCAACATGTATGTAAAATAACTGTTTTTTTTTTCGTTCTTCTTTTGCATTTCAATTTATGAAACTTTTGAACAGCGAATTTGAACTGTTTTCTTCTTCTTTGGCTTTTCTTTTTTTTTTTTTTTCGCGGTTACCTATTGTTGGGTATACAAGTGGAGCAAAAAGATGTGAAGTTAGAAAAGAGGAATATGTGCACAAATACTTTTCTTTGAATAATGTTTATAATTTTTTGTATCTATTAATATCTACAGGTCAAAAAAAACAGCAAAAAAGAAAAGATAGAAGGAGTAATAGGCTTTATTTGTTTGTTTTTATTATTTTTGTAAATTTTCATATAATTAATTAGCATAATTTTTTTTAGAAACTCAGAAAAGAAGACGGTATATTTACAAATACTGTATCTAGGTATTTGTAAAAAAATTGAACAGTTGTTGTTGAATGAGATATTTACTGGAAAACTGAATGGTAGAATTAGAAATTCTTGCCACATCAACGGTTCCAGATCTTTTTAGTGATTGTCCAGATGAATATACGGCAAGAGATATCAAGTATATCAACTGTTCAATTCCTGTGGGACAATCACCATGTGTAATGCTAAAGGTTTTAAATTTTATTAAATTTAATTATTCTATTTAAAGTATAAACCTGAATTAATTGTCTTGAGGATTAGCTGCTGGCAACTAATTTTTATTTTCTGTATTCTGTTATTCACAAGTATCAGCTGTTTACTGCAGATAAGCAGTACCAAGTTGTACAATAAACAGTGAACAAGTTGAACCATAATAGTTAATAACTGTTAAGCGGTCTTTTTTTCAGCTTTTGAGTTGATTCTTCAATCAAAAAAAGTCTGTCTACCGTCTGCATATATAGTGGTAACTTTAAGAAATGAAAGCGATATTTAAATGTGTAATTCAACTTTTTGCCCTTCAGCAGCGACAGCACCAATAGTAGCAATCAGTTTGGTTAATTTATTCACCAAAATCAGTGTTTTCCTGTTCTACAAAAAAAATTGTTTAGGAGCTTCATGATGCAAAAAATTTTCGAAAATACTTCTTGGCGACTATACCGTTGGTGCTTTCAGCTTTTGCTGTTGTCTTCAATATTTTATTTGGTCTCCTGACGATCGTCTTTTGGCGACGAAACAAACTTAGGTTCCTCTTCTTTTTTTTTTCTTCTTCACTTTATTAAATATTTAGTTTGTTTGAGAAACAAAAAAAACATTTTGCCACTATCTCATATTGTTTCAAGTAGTTTTTTTTGATCTTCTTACTCTTAGAAACAACACAGAAAATTAGAATACTTGTTTAAACTGTCAATTTTACAGTAAGAAAAGTAGCAGAATTCCCGTGCCCTTTTTTCCATGGCTTTTTCTATGAATCTGCTTCTTTTCTATCTAAATTAAAATTAATAAAACTGATAACGTTAGGAGAATTTTTCAGCTCAAAACAGCGGTATACATTCCTACAGAATCGAACACTGAGTACAATAATTGCATTGATACTGTTTTATATTGTTTTAATTGCTTGGAAAGCTGGTGGCTTCCAATATACATCGGCAACAATTTTTATTTTAGTTGCTTCTCTCACATTTTTAACACATTCAGGTAGGATATTTATGTAATTTTTTTTTTTTTTGAAGCTTTACTAGCATTACCAGTGTCTAGAAATAAAAAACCAGATTTTGCTTCTCATCCTCCATATGCTAATCCCACAAAAAAAGTCAGCTAAGTAGTGTATCCATTACTTGTACCACTTTCGGAGGCTATAATTGATAAGCGGACGTCAGAAACTAGCAGAAATAAAGTTACTCCAGCTTTTGTTTTCTGCACCATATATCATGATCTCAGTAATGGTTGGGAAACAGATTCATTTTTGCTTGTCAAGCGAATCGCTAGGGGTAATCAACAGCTCGGGTTGAAAACATCTGGAAACAGCCTAGCCGATCAGAGTTCCTAGTTTTTATAACATCCATTTTCGTCGCTCGTCCTAAATCATGATTATATACAGGTACATACCTCGGAATGACAACTGTCCTGTACATGGCAATTGTCCATCCAATGTCACATCGTTATTTGGTTACATTTACTCGTTGCTTTATTGCAGTTTGTATTATTTGGCTAATTTCTGTTGCATTCTCGGTAACCTATTTATCATATCATTTTTTTCTCAATGATTTCATGTAATCTCATCTTCAGATAAAACTCCTCTCACTACTCCATTTCTCTCTTCTTGTTTAACAATTTCGATTCCGTTGTTTTCAGCTTTGTATCGGTCTTCTGGGCGCAACACTATTTTATCCAGAAACAGCACCAATCCGATGCGAATTTTCTCGGTGTCAAAGACCATTTGCGATTGCTGTTGTTTGCCTATTGTCAGCCTTCTTTATAATTGTTATTGCATTTTATGTCATTATGCTTTACCGGATGCATAAACGACAGTATAGAATGCAAAGAAGCGTAAATTTTAATAGACCATTTTCTGCTTATAAAATAAAAAAAATCGACCAAATTCCTACCAATATGAAATTTACAAGTAATATGAGTAAGATTTACTTGGGCAACGTCGAAGTTGGCGACACAACTTTGACGCAGTATTTATTTCACATATTGAAATTTTTTCAATAATCTCAGCGTTGTTCCTAGCATATCTTCAGCAATAACTAATTCTGGAATCGTAATTACTTAACAAGCAATATATAGTTCTGTAATCATTTAGAACACTGACCGTTCATCGAATAACGTACGGACGATGAACCGACTGGCAATCAACTTGGTCACCTTTGCCGTGGCATCGCTACCAATTTTAATTGTCGCAATTATCGCTACAGCTAATTTAGAGTCGCTTGCCTCACTAGGTTTCTTTTTAAAAAACCCCATTTTCCGGTTGTGTCTTGCAGCTAACTAGTCCCATTTATTACTTTTGGCTTGCAGGCCTTGGCACGAAATCACCGTGTAAAACTTTTAAAAACGGCCATCTTTTTTGGGAAGTTGAAGTACTCGCTTCAATCGCAGCAACAGTATGGGTAATGACGATGATATTAGACCCCCTGATTAACATATACGTTGACCGACAGTTCAGGAAAGCGTCAGTTGAAATTTGGCACCGCTGCATTTCAAGGCTGCAACGTCGAGTATACGACATAAAAGACCACGCCTCCACCAGCAACAGCTGACTGACACTATCGCGCTACCCATTATGATTCACACGGCACTTCGAGAAGTAACTGAATGCACTTTTTGCTAACCACCACATAAAAAGCGTAAGACGACACTAGAGCTGGACCACTGCGACGTCAAAGTCAACTGCGAAATGTCTAATGTCTTGCCACTTCCGCCCTGTGAAAAACAGTTTCCTTATGGAAGCAAAAAGATGGTCACGTCCAAAGAAACGACGAGTACAGCGAATAATGCACTCGTTTTATCCAATTGTTCAGTTTCATTAACAAGTAATAAATGAATATTTCCACGTCCTGGAAAACAGGTGAACAGGCAGACAACCGAAATAATGTCTTATTCCATTGGTTTTTGAAGATCTTATAAGCAAATGCATTAGCAATAAAAATGTTCGGCGTAAACATATAACTGCCAAGCACTTCTAGACTACAGCCACGATATCGTATGACTCTCCATTTATACAGTTGTAGCTCCCACCTACCCTTGAGGGAAATCTCAAAAGACTGACAAAATTGACTAAAAAGCAGGTACGGGTCCGACGATTTAGTGCCGACCTTTTCGACCAATGTGTAGACAGTAACATAAAAAGTAACACGAGTGTTTAAAAACATCTCGTTTAACTTACAATAATGAAATTAAAACAGTTGGAAATAAGGTAAGTTCACAGATACAAAATTAATACTATTACAACGGATTTCAACATCTTTATATAAAAAGTTGTAAAGTACAGCTTTTCGCGCTAGAACTACAGTCATAATAATTATCTTTTAGCCCACCAATTAGACCCGTCAAGAAATTCAACAGACAGAGCGAGAAAGTAAAGAAACGAATACAGGCTTAAATAAAACCAAATTGGTACACGTCCTACACTGCGGTCTTAATGATAAATTTAATAAAGCAAAAAGAAAGTTACGATAAGATGAAAGAAATAAAAAAACTTGCTTAATGAGAAGACAATACTAATACAAGCCCTGCTCAAGGCACTCCAGAGAAGTTACAGAAGAATTATTACAAAGCTTAAAAAAGCACCACTTATATCCATGAGTCGGTTGTTGGGAAAAGACAAAAGTGGAAAGAACGTCTACCCCAAACGTTATACTCTAAAACCAGAAATACAGACTATGACCAAAAACAGATAACTGAAAGTGAATGGCACTTAAAACCTGACACCTAAAAACGGCTAACGAATTACCTGTAAGAACATTAAGAATCCAGTTACAGTCAGGCCAAAAAATTCTAGGCAACAGAAGACTGAAGAGTGGCGTTTTCAATTACTTGACCAAGACACCTTCCAAATTCCTTAAGTATAGCCATCTCTAACTTCTCATCCGTAACTCCACCTTCCGATTCCAACTCTTCTGCTTGTGCAACAAGACATAATGTTGCAGCCTCAACAACCTCGTCTGTCATGTAAAACCAGGGCAATCTTAAAATAAGTTTAAATAAGCTATAAAACTTCACATTTCCAAATTAGCCTTGAAAATGTCGTCACTTACGTTTTAGGATCGCTTGGTTCCGGGGTTTCCGCCTCACTTTCTTCATCGCTAAAGGGAGAAGACGCACGCATCTCAGCTTGCACACTTCCCAGAACTGGCCTAACATCAGAAGATGCACTGAACTTATTTCGAAACTTGGTGGCTCTGTCGTTCTCTGTATTGCGACAACTTATACACTTACACCTATCTGTACAAGGTACTTTAGCCTAAAAATAAAACCAGTTAGACACTAATAATAAATTAACAATAAAATTGTTAGCAAAGTTAGACTTGAAAACCGTGGGAAATAGAGGCGACCACATAATGACAAAAACCTCTCCTTCACAAAATTTGATAAATAATCAAAAAAAAGGCACGGAAACAAAAAAGATGTTATAAACTGCCAGCTTTTAAGCTCATTTACATAAAATTCACCAACTTCTTCAAGTGGTAAAATGCTACAGATCACTTGCCTCATAACACTCGCAATAATTTTTTAGACAATTCGACTTCTTACAGTGACAACCTTTCTGGTGTAAACGTTCAACGTCAACCCGACCCCTCGGAGCAACACCTTAAAGCGAACATATTCAACATGCAAAAAAAAAAAGAGTACCAAATGAAGAAATAACACCAACACACTGAAAAGAACTCCAAGTCATAAAATTTAGAAGCAAAAAAAAAACCTACCAATTTTTGGTTTAAAAGCATTAGGATTTCTCTCCAACGACAACTTTACTGCACGGGTGCGTTCCGCTTCATTTTCAAGATTGTTTCGACAGTCTTTACAATTGCAATCTTTGCAAAACTCTCCATTAGCGAAACAATCACAATACAATTTTAAACACATTGATTTAGTACAGTTACAGGGCTTCCTGTTCCCCATCCCACACTGCCTTCTGAAAATTATTTCAAAAACAAGGTAGATTGGGGAAGTACCCTAGCATCCTAAAGGAAAAATTGAAACTGCATCCCAACAACCAAAGATTTTAAAATAAACTAAGCAAACAAACTCACTTCTTCTGGGCCATCTTCGCGGCTAAATACGGAGTGAAGCGCCTGTTGTATTGATAACTAGCTTCAGATGCCCGATATGCTATTGGAAGAGGAGAGGAGTGAGAAGAAGTAGGTTTTACTAACGGACCTGAGTAATATGTTCGCTGAGGCTGCAAATGTGGTTCCTGCAAATTTTAACAGTTAGTAAACATAAAATAATTCCAGAACAAAGAAAACTGTAAGCTCCAACACCTCATTTGATAAACCATTCAAGTCTTGAAAAGTTATATGAAACTAACAGCTTGTCTCGCGTATAACGGCACATTTTCAGTGCGAGGTGGTACCGTACATAGTGCAGAGGCGACACCAGTGCTTTTGCCGACACGATACACCTATAATGCGAGACTGGTCGAACGAAAAGATTCCCAGTTAATTTCGAGTAAGAGAGCTACCTGGTGCAATTTTTGCGCTAAATGGGTTTAAAAACTAACCAGAATACAAATTTACAAATACGAAGTTACAATTCAAAGTCTGACTAATTATGTACCTATCTGTTACAATTTTACAAACAAACTGCTAAATTTAATCCAGAAACCCTTATTTAATCAATAAACCTACATGAAAATAATAAAGAGCGATAAACGAAAAAAAAAAAAAAACTAAAAAACAGAAAGCAAAAAATGAAACTAAAATCCAAAGTACTTGATTTCCTCGAACAGCATATACGTGTTGAGACTGTAACTGTCTATCTGGTGGAATCTGCTGCACATACCCTACCTGACCCATGTTTCCCTAAAACCACTATCAGTTCTGTCTAAGGGACATCAAAAAAAGAAAGAAATCTGAAGCCGTATAAGACAAACAATATCGTAAAAGAAATCTTAATTCCTCCTGCAAGACTATCAGAAAAAACTGAGAAGAGTGGATAAAAAACAGAATCATTTTGGAAAAAAAAAGGAAGAGAAACAAATAAACAGTGAATAAATGTCTGAAGATACCTGAATCCGCTGAGACTGCATGGCAATAGGAGAAGGTTGTCTATGGTTTGGAGGTCCGTGCACAATGTACTGGTATCCACCCCACTCTTAATCAGTAAAAGATCAGATTCATTCGCAACTGCTGCAGCGTAATTGAAATTTTATTATGTATAATAAATTACCAGGAACTTGTTCATACTCTGCTTCATCAATATTCATCTCGTCTACTTCCTCTAGCAACATCTCTTCACCGTCAACCTCGACCAGCTCACCATAAACCTTAAGTTGCGTCACTTTCCACTTATAACGATAAAAAGCAATTGAAAAAAAAGGATTATAGGAACAAAACTAACTTCAGATTCATCAATAACTTCTTCCACAGCTTCTTCTTCAAGAACCTCTTGGTTCTGCTCCATGACTTCGAAGCCTTGACTTCCTCTTGATAATATGCCACAGAAAACGGCGAGCGTATATCTGACAAAAAACAATAAGCTAGTTAAAAGATTAAAAGCAAATTGGCTAAACTGAACTCGAGGTGTAAAGAAATATATTTAATCTTCGTTCATATTCTTTGAAACATTTCATCTGCCAATAAGAAAAATAACTGACCAATTTCACTAAACTCTCCTGTGGTACTCAAAATTCTAAAAATCACATGACCTGGTTAAAAGTCACATTAATTGTTTCGCAGAACCTTAATTTACATCCAGCTACATCTCAAAAAGAAAAAAAAAAAACGAAGTATCATTCATATATTTCTGTCAGGTCGTTAGTTTTCTAATAGAACATAAAGACACCTAAATCATGACATGCAGAAAGCCGTAAATCAAGAAACAAATAACTGGTCTACAAATTAAGCAACTCAACAAATGAATTACAAGAATACCTAGCCTGTTACGCGTAGTTAGCTGGTTTCAACTGCCGATATAGTTATAATAAAAGATAGAAAAACCCAGTTATACATATACAAATACCACACGCCCCCTCGGAATCATTTATTGTCACAAACAAAATTGCTTTCACTGGATATATCCCGCCAAAGTAAGAACAGTTTAAATGTTGGCAAAGTTTCATTTTTATCAAAAGAATCGTTTTCGGACAAAAAATTTTTTCCGCGCAAAACGAAATTTTTAACAGTATTTTTATTGGCTTATTTTCAATTTTTGTCTTCTTTTCGCTGTTCACTACAACTTTTTGGAATATATGAGAATATATGAGAATTTTTGGAATATGTGAGGTTTTACTGAATGATTTTTGGGTCTACAATCTTTTTTTTTTTTTCTTTGATGACTGAGGTCGTTATCAACTGTTAATGGATAGTTTCGTCAAATCTAAAAAAGTGGAATGTTATTGTTTTTCAGGGCTTTCATCGCTGCTGTCGGGGCGTTTTTTCTGCTGTATACAAAAAGTTTTAGCAAGAGATTTTTTCAGCTATTTGTTTTAACCATTCAAGGATTTTTCACACATTTGTGCGCAGCCGTTCTGTCCTTTACTGCTGAGTTGAGATGAGGTTTAAGTCTGTTTGATAGCTTGAAATGCATTTTTTATTCTTGTTTTTCTTTTTCTTTCACTTTTTGAACGAGTTTTGTATGTATCCCGGTCTTTAAATTGCAGTTTGAGAGCTGTAAAAAAGCTGTGGCGTTTGCTTTGTTTGAAATTAATACTTTCTTCCCATTAATCCCATAGCTACAGTAGTAAGTTACAAATACAATAGAAATCTAATTTTTATTCATGAGATGATTTTGTGAAACATGGGAGTACTGGAGACAATACGTTAACTTTGCAGTAGAACATGAACCACACTTCTTACGGTAATGAGAAAAGCGTCATACAAAATACATTTATCCGAGTAATAAGAGCCGTAGCCCTGGAAGGTTACACTGGTGGCATTGGTGAGTCAAGCACAGACCACTTATCAAGGAAAAGGTATAATTTCGATTAAGCTTGTCAGCATCCTCTGTAAGCGGAGAGATTCTTTACAGCTGCCGCGAAACCTCTTCGAATTTATTTTTCCTCGTCAGTACATAAGATCGTTATTCTCTCCCGTTACTGCGCTTACCAGCGAAAGTAGATAACCACGCATTATACAACCCGTTGGTATTACTTTTATTAGCCAACGACACAAAAGACTTCCGTTACATTTTCCATGTTTTTTTTTACGGTTTTTTTGTTAGACTTTTAGCTTTTTCATCGTATGAAGTGTTCGCTTGTCGACCGAGTGTAGTAAAGGACTTGTTTTTATGGGATTCATTTTATAGTCTACTTTTATTTCAAAATTTTACAAAGTTGTATATTCATTATTCTTGTTTTTATCTTCATTCATTATGTACCGACTGTAGTCTGATTCTTCTGTCAACATTCCATAATGTTTGCTTTACAAATTCTGTTTGTTGCAGTGTTTAAACAGTGGATTGTTTAGGTGTAATGCCATCTTCGATAAAGCGTTGTAAGAGAAAGAAACGGAGATATATTGTGAAGAGGAATCAGATAAATTCAAAAAATAAGGCAAGGAAAAGGAAACGCGGCAGTGTTTTTATGTATGTTATTTTTCATTTCTTCATGTTACGGGCAAATCTGGCGTTGTGATTTTTAATTTCATTTTACATGTGCTAATTATAGACCATTATATTTTAGCAAAGAAATTGCGGAACTGTGGAATAAAGATAAAACAGTAAAGCAGAACTTGGAAGATATTGGACTTGTATATGATGTAAATAGAGCTCTAAAATTCTTACCGGTAAAGTATTTAAAAAGCATAATGCTCTAATTAAATAGTTCGTTTATGAGTTTAAACGACAAATGATGAATGAGTTCTAATCCATCTGGTAATAAATATTCGTAAACATCAGTGGCTCACTCTTTTTTTTCCTTTGCTTATTTTTCATTGCTAAAGGACTTGGATTTTTGAGAATAGTATAAAAATAGTTTGAGGTTTAGGAAAGTTCAAAAAGCGGAGAAACAGAAGAAATGGATGTTGAAGAAATAGCAGCAATTGACAGTATTAAGGGACAAAAAGTAAGGAATTCAAGAGTATTTCTTTTAAAACATTGTCTTTTTTTATCGGCAGAGAAGGCGAAGCGTGGGGAACATGGTGTCTCTTCATTTTCGCTTTTTAGAGTTCTCAAGATAAGTTGAACGTTCTCAGATTTCCAATGCGGCAAAAGGACATCGACGTTTACGTTTATCTGATAAAGCGGTACGGTGAGGATTATGAGGTTGGCATTTATTTCCAGGGCAAGGCTTAATTGTTTGTGTGTATTTTCAAATCTGTTGATTTTTTGTAGATATTTTCTCTCGTTAATCGTTCTTCCAGAAACTTTTTTTGTATTTTTGAAAAATTTACAGGCAATGAGCCGTGATCCGAAGAATATCAAACAGAACACGCCATTACAGTTGCAGAAGAAATTACGGGTTTTTAGACGTTCCCCAGAGTTTCCGAAGTACTTCAGTATCTCATAATTTTTTTCCCCGTTAAATGCTAGCTGTTGTTTTAGAAAATATAAGAACTATATGTAATTGGTGATTGTTGTGTTGAATCAGAACCGGTTTTAACTGAAAAAGTCTATTAGATGTTGTTTTTTCCCCCACATTAATGATTGGCAGTACTAACCACTTAAAGTTCAAAAAAGTTTTTTGCAAATCTTTGGAAGAATGAGTTTACAAAAATTTTAGGGTACTAACATTTTAAAAAACGTTTTAGGAATTTATAAAAATGAAGCTTTTTTTAATCTTTGCTTTTTTCTATTTAGTGGTGTTACGGAGTTGTTTAGGAAAAGTGATAAAACTTGTGGTTTTTGAATACGCTTTATTATTTAGGCTTGTTGTTCTTGTTGTTGTTGTTATTTGGAAATGAAAATTGAATTTTAAGAAAATTTTGGCCGAGTTTAGCTCATTTTTATATTTTGGTGATTACCAGGCGATCTGCTCTTTATTATATTTATTTGTTTCTCACGAGGTTTTTTACTTAAGATTTGCGGATGGCATTGTTAAAAGCATACTTTTTTCTGATCAGTCTCAGTTACGTGCGATTCAGAGCTGAATACTGACAAGGTGATAATGCGAAAGCATTAAACAATTTTTTCTTCAAAGGTCTTTTTTTT